CACTTCTCTACTTACACCATCCCGCCTTAATCCTATGGCCCACATCCGCATCAATCTCCCTCTCTGTTATGATAATTGACCCTAAATAACGAAAATGTTCGCTCTTAGGCAGTTTGTGGTTCTCAATCTTCACTTCTCCTCTACTTTCATTGTTGCTGTTACTAGATTTACATTCCATGTACTCTGTCTTAGTTCTAATTATCCGGAATCCTTTAGATTCAAGAGCTTTTCTCTAAGTCTCCAACTTTGTGTTAACTCATTCTCTAGTCTCATCCACTAGCACAATATCATCTGTAAAAAGCATACACCATGACACTTCATCCTGAATATTTCTCGTCAACTCATCCATAACTAAAGCAACAAGATAAGGACTTACAGTAGATCCTTGGTGCAACCTTACAGTGATAGAAAATTCATTTGTCTCTCCAACATGCGATTTAATGGTGGTCACCACCTCTTCATACATGTCCCTAATCACATCAATGTAACCTTTTGTCACCCCTTTATCCTCTAACACCCACCATATTATATCCTAGGGCACTCTATCATATGCTTTCTCAAGGTCAATAAATACCATATAAATATCTTTTTTCTTTTCTATATACTTCTCTATTACTCTCCTCAAAAGATAAATTACTTCCATTGTTGACCTACCAGACATAAACCCAAATTGATTCTTTGACACCTCTGTTATATCTCGTAATCGGCGTTCCATCACCCTCTCCCACACTTTCATTATATGACACATTAGCTTGATTTTTCTATAGTTATTGCAATTCTAGACATCTCCTTTATTCTTATAGATTGGCACTAAAATACTTTTTCTCCACTCATCTAGCATGTTCTTAGTCAACAAAAATTTGCTAAACAACCTAGTCAACCAAGCAACCCCCTTTTACCCAAACACTTTTAAGCTTCAATAGGGATATCAATGGGTTCTAAAGCCTTATTTGATTTCATCTTCGTAAGTGCAATCTCCACTTCAAAATTCTTAATCCTGCGATAGAACCTATAGTTTTGGTTTATCGTATTACTGGTTATTTCTTCCCTTGTTGTCGAATCTCCATGTTCCTCATTTAATAGTTTCTCAAAATAGTTATTCAATCATTCCTTAATCTCTTCATCCTTCACCAATACCTTAGAATCCTCACTCTTGATGCACTTAACTTGATTAAAATTTCTCGTTTTTATTTCCTATATCTTAGCAAGTTTGTATACCCTCTTCTCTTCCTTCTTACTATCTATTATAGTATATAGGTCATCATAAGCTTTCAACTTAGCCTCTCTCACCACTTTTTTGACATCCTTATTAGCCAATGTATAGCTCTTAAGGTTTTTTTTAGTTCTATATTTCTGTTACTTTTTAAAGCACTATTTTTTTGCCTTAACTACCTCTTGAACCTCTTCCCTCCACCACCAAGTTTCCCTAGAGCTGGGTCTCGTCCCTTTAGACTCTCTAAGCACTTCCTTTGAGATTCCCCTCATACAGTTGGCAATCGAGTTCCGCATAGTATTAGCATCATCTTCCAAGTCCCATGTACCTTCCTTATCTATTCTATTCTTAAATATTTCTAGTTTTTTCCCTTTTAGGTCCTATCATCTCGTCCTACGACCCCCACTATCCTTCCTAGTTTGGTATTGCCCTCTAAAACATAAATCTAGTACTAAAATCCTATGTTGAGAGGCCAAGCTCTCTCCAAGAATCACCTTACAATCATTGCATTTTAGGTGATCCATTTTTCTCACTAAGAAGTAATCTATTTCGCTTTTAACTGACCCACTCTTAAAGGTTATCAAATGTTCCTCCCTCTTCTTATACATAGTATTGGCCACCACCAGGTCAGAAGCTAATGCAAAATCTAAGATACTTTCTCCAGCCTCATTTCTGTCACCAAAACTGTATCCACCATGCACCATTTCATAGCCTAGTTTATCTATGCCTACATGGCCACTAAAATCTCTACCTATAACTAGGTTCTCTCCTATGGGTATCTCTTGTAAGATCTCATCCATTTACTCCCCAAATTCCCTTTTAGTCTGGTCATCTAATCCTACTGGAGGGGCGTACGCACTAATAACGTTCACTATATTCCCTCCAATAACTAGTTTAAATAACATAATCCTATCTCCTTTCCTAATGATCGCCATTATATTCTCCACAAGACCCTTGGCAATTATGATTCCTACCCCATTCCTGCGTCTATCCTTACCACTATAATACAGTTTAAAATTGGTATCCTCAATTTCTTTAGCTTTCTCACCCGTTCACTTAGTTTCTTGTACGCAAACTATATTAACTCTCTTCCTAATTATAACATCTACCAATTTCATCACCTTACCAGTTAAGATTCCTATATTCCAAGTGACTACCCTAAACCTGTAGTATTGGACTAGCTTCTTTACCCGCGCTCGTCCACAAAAGCGCGGGAACCTTTGCCAATTTTTCACTGCACCTAGACGTCAATGCGGCACCCTTGCTCACTTTTCGAAACACCCAGAAGTAGGCACAACGGGTCACTTGAGGGGAATGACTTAGTATTTAAACGATTCAAAATAAGATTCATTGTCATAAGGGATCCGACCTGCTTTCTTACATGTTGGCTGTCGACTACCTAATACACAACCTTCCTCCTTAACCCGGACTTTGGGACCGGCGGAGTTGCTAACAACCCCAGCGGAGTTAATTTCAAATTTACTATTTTTATAATTTTGTGTCAAGGATGACAATTTTGGTTTTTTTCTTGCCCTGAATATATATATATATATATATATGGGGAGGGGATGAAATTTGTTTTTCCTTCATGAATTAAATTAATTAAATACTTATTGTATATATATATATAAATATAATTTAATTTATTAAATATAATAAGAGGAAACATAGAAACATTGATAATCATTCTTCCGCATGTGTTATATCATTTCTTTCATTAATACTATTTGCCTTCTAAATGTGACAAATTATCTTGATACCTCTTCGTTGTCGTCATCTTCTTGATTTCCCTTACCCTATTCCAACAAATAATAATAATCTATACTATATATTAAGTAAAATAGAGTTTTTAACCCCAAGTTTTGTAGGAGTTTCAATCTCCCAATCTAAATTTATTGATTTTTTGATTTAAAAAAAAAAATCTTAGCATTTATTAACTTCTCCCAACCCCTAAGTCTTACCCTCATAATAATATTTTAATGCATTAAAACAAGTATAAAAAAAAATCTTTGAAATCCAACACATATATATTCCTTGAAAAGTCCCAACATATAAGATTATTATGCCTCATAATAACACTTTAATACATTAAGAACAAGTATAAAAAAAATTTATTGAAAAGTCTAACACATATGATTATTATCAAAATATTAAACTTTAATATAATATAGAAAAGGAAAAAGAGAAGACATTTAAAAAAAAAAAAGACATTTAAAAATTACAATTCATACGTATAGATAATTGTAAATATATTAAGAAAAATGGGGTTTCTAAACCCCAAGGCTTGTGGGAGTTCCAATCTCTCAATCTTATTTTTTTAAATTTTTTATTTAAAAAAAAAACTCAGCATTTATTGATTTGGTCAAATTCCCTGATCAGCATTTATTAACTTTTTTCAATCCACATGTTTGCATTTATTGATTTGGTCAAAATCCTTGATTAGCATTTAAAATCCCCTCATATAAATAATTATGGATACAATCCGTACATAATTACTGCAGTAGCATTTTTATTTTCTCCTGTGCACCATGGTTATTAATAAGATTGTTAAATTATTTTTATAAAAAATCTTAAAAAACATAATTTCTATATTAAAAAAAATAAAAAAAAATATAAATATCTATAATTATCCCGTGCATAGTACGGGTGATAGGCTAATAATAAAAGAAACAAAAGTGGGAAATAAAACACCACCAACCCGTTCCGTCCTGCTCCGTTACCATTCCTGTTTTGGGTTTCTTGTTAGAGGATGATGCATGGGTGCCTTGCTTATTGACACAAGCCAACAAAACGAAAGAGTGCTGTTAGCAGACTGCATCTATTCCTTTCTTGCTCTCCATGTGGTGGTGGGGTTGTGGAAAAGATATGTAACATGGAAAGGTAATATAGAATAGTATGAAAATATCATAAAGGATGGACCAATTACGAAACAATTTAATTGTTATAATCCTTCAATGCTTTGAAGAATTTGTACTATTTTTTTTAATGATATATTTGGATGTAGTCTCTCTTTGGTTGAAGTTTTAGAATTTGTTTTCTGATAATTGTTTTTTAGTTTGATTGAGTTTTTAATTTTTTTTTTCTTTGCAAAAACTAAAAATTAATTTGTCAAAAATAAATATTAAAAAATATTTTTAAATTAAAAAAACAACTATTTTAGTAAAAAAAGTCATATAAAATTTTTAGGATAAATTTCATAGACTTCTCTTAAGATTTATAAAAAATACAATTGATACTATAATTTTAATATAATTACAGTAGTTTCTTTTAATGTTTTAACTTATATAATAATCAGTTCCATCTTCATTAATAATTCATTAATTATATAGATAAAAAAATGAATATTGTCATTATTTTATGCTAAATGAATATGTTTCATTATTTGTTATTGCATTTTCATATTAAATTTTAGTTCTTTTAATAAATTCACCATAATCATATTAAATTTTATATTTTCTTCAAATTTATTGTAATTTATCCAAAATTTCAAGTTAAGTGTGTGATAGGGTCGAGTCAACTCGATTGGGTCAAACCGAGTGAATTTAAATTTAAATATTCTTGCGAATACTCACTCTTAGGATTAACGCTCCGTGAATATACGATACTACATATATCAATTAATATATTAATATTAATTATAATATTATTATTACCCTTATTGATTAATCGCATTATAATATTATTTATTAATCACATTATAAATATTAAAAATATCTTAAATTATCTTCTATAAACTATATCACATTATAAATATTAAAAATATCTTAAATTATCTTCTATAAACTATACTAATTGATACATAGGATACTTCGGATGCGGATGTTTCTCTTTCTCTGTAAATCCCTCGCTCCATCGTGAGTTTCGCCGGCTGACTCCCTCTTTCTCTCTGTAAAACCCCACACACTCTCTCTCTAGAACCAGTGTACGCACCATGGGTTTTACGCTCGAATCCTTCACGCTTGCAAACCCTAACCCTAGCTTTAGTCCCTTCTCGAAGAGAGCTTCAATGGCGTTGTGTCCTTCACAGACATCTCTTCGGTGCGAATCTCTCATCCGACCTCCCAGAATCTTCGTTTGTCCCAGGGGACTCGGCCTCGGTTTACTTCCTCTGCACGAGCAAGGGTTACGGAACCGGTCGGTGTTCTCCTTCGCGGCCTCGCACGAGGAATCGGTGAGCTGTGTTTCGATCAGTTTACGCAATTGCTTTTGGTGGTTTGTATTATTTTGTTTTTTTGGATTCAATTGCTTGATTTACTTGTTTTGGTATTAAATGTTGGCATTGATTGAAATTTTGAAAGGGATATTTTGAAAGGTATGTTTTTGATTCACATGAGAATTGTTTGAAATAGTTCAGGAGATTTTTGAGCATTTATTGTTGTTGGAATTTGCAGGGTTATGACGAAACATTTGCACTACCATGGTGATACATGCATTAATTAGTGTACTAATTAACTAGTGTATCAATAATTACATTATTATTAACCCACTCATTAATCATATTATAAATACCAAACGCCTCTTAAATTTTGCCACATCATCGATTGGCATACTAGTTAAATTGATTCCCATCGCATGAAAACATCATCAAATTTTCCAAGAGGATGTGGAATTACAAAGATTGCTCCTGTCTGATGCATTGCAGAAGGTAAGTTCCACCATTCATTCTTTGGATCTCTTCTGAAATTAGAGAACCTTGGTACTCGGTCTCCATATGTTGGTCTCTGAGGAATAGGAATGGCAGTACTTCCTGTAGCTGGTGGATATCCTGGAGGACCCATCATAAAATCTTGAGGTGGCCGATAATTAGAAACAGCAGTTGAGGATGAGGAAAGGATGCCTTTTTGCTTCAGTTCTCTTTCATCTTTTTCCAATTGTATGATGAGTACATTAATTGGTGCATATAATATTATATTAGTTAATACATTAATTAGTACATTTAATATTATTCTTTGCACTAAGAAAGGACAAGTATTATTTTTTTCCCCTCAAAATAAACAAATGAATTTCATTAGTTCCCCGAATGTGTAAAATTTTCATCTTTGGACAGGGGAAGAGCCAAAATTGACACCATTTTTGCACATGTTTGAACCGCATATAGGGGTAATAAATGTACCAAACAGTTCGAGCTGAATTTATCTTTGACTTGTTAAAAGTTCATTTGAGCTTAGTTTGTTGGGTAAACAAGTCAATCTTGAACACATTTTTGGAGTTTGTTAAACTTTTCAAACTAAGTTTGAACAATCAATTGCTCATTCGGCTTGGTTTGATAACCTAAAACTATATAAAAATACCACACTAATTGAGCTTGGCTCAACAAAAGCTCATTTGAGGTCGGCTTGAAAGCTTAATGAACCAAACTTGAACCAATTCTAAAGCTCGTTAAAGTTTTCAAACCAAGTTTGAATAATTAACCGTTTATCACCTCTAACTGCATTCTCTGCTTGTGTTTATGCTAAAGCTCATTTTTCAAATGATTAGTGGTGGGTGCAAATGTGATGCGTTTGCAATTTTGCATTAAATTTTTTTGGACGATTTGATGAATGAAGAAAACTGTAGTAGTTATGGTTTATTTAGCAGCTATTGGATGTGGAGGTCATTCTTGGAAAAATTAAAAAGCATGACAGCAGTTACACCAAATGGGGTATATTTATTCTATATAATATAATAGAATAAATAGAATAGATTTTCAACATCAATGCGTTGCAAGATTGTATCTCACTGATGTTATGGAAGCCTGTGAATCACTGACATTATGGTGAATTCAATCTACAAAGGGAAACAAAAATCAATATAGTGAAGTGTTTTTGTCTCTGGTGTAAAAGATGGGTATTTTGTTTGCACTTACCAATTGGGAACATATGTTTTAATACTGTATACCATATGCATTTGGGGTTTTTAGTCTTGTATAATGTTGGGAAGGCTTTCGTTGTTGGTGCATAACGCATGTTTATCTTTTGCCAGGTACATCTTGGTTATTCTATATTGCTGTGGCCTGACATTTAATATATATATATATATATATATTTAAATTTGTCAGTGTGGACTAATGACTGTAGGGAAGTTGTGGCAATATATCACTCATAAGTTCAACTTCTGTTTATAGGGGGAAAAAATTGTTGAACTACATCTTTCTTCATCAGGCATGCTTGTAGTTGCATAATCAAGTAATGACCTTTCAGTTTCTTGATTCAAATGCACGAGATCTTGAGGTTTATGTACAATTTTTACTCTAGGGACAGGGTAGAATAGGGATGGGAAAACATAGTGGCCTTTGTTGAACTGATATAATTTTAAGGAATAATTTCCATATGATTAAGAGGATGGGTGACCATAATCTTCTCTATAATTGGAGTAAATGTGAAGTTTTGGAAAGGAGTTGCTTGTTTGCTAGTTAAGTAATGATATATGAAGCAAAGCTTATGGTTTATCTTCTTATGCATGCATAATCTCAACCATATATTTTGCATGGTTAGCTTGGATTTATTGTCACACTTGATTTGATTTGATTCATAAGTGTATACATATTTTTCTTTGGTGCTAATAAGTCTATGCGTATTTGATGGTCTTTTACGTATTTGATTTTTAGAAACCTTTAGAAGTTGAAGCGGAGGAACAGAAGAGCGATCTTCAAGCGGAAGCTAAAGAATCACAAGAAGCATGGAAACAGACTCTAGCCTCTTTCAAAGAACAAGCACTAAAGATGCAGAGTGTGTCACAAGAAGCATACGAGTTGTATTCTAAGAAAGCAATGGTCATTTTAAAAGAAACCTCAGAGCAGTTGAAAATTCAAGCAGAAAAGGCAAGGTATGATTTAACAGTGGTTGCAAAGGAAATCAGCGAAGAGGGCAAAGAATATCTATCCACTGCTGCTGAGAAATCCCCTGAACCAGTGAAGGATATCATTGAAACATTCGCTTCCTCAACTGATGATGTCAAGGACATTTCTAAAGTGTGTGACTTTTACATTGGGATACCATATGGTAAGTATTTAAGCATTAATATTTTTGACAGAAATATTGTAAACATTCTCTATTCTGTTATTTGGTTCCAATGGTTTTATGCTTCAACATCATTTTTTGTCTGGTGCTTATATTAAGCAGAAGATGATTTGCAGCAAAGTTTTTAAAGGTAAATGCGTACCTTGAGGCGTTTACCCCTCATGAGGCGGGGTGTAAGCCTCAGGACGTTGAGGCGCAAGCATTTCAAATTTCAAATTTTAATATTAACTGAATAAATTAAATATTTTTAAATAGTTAAAAAAATAAAAACAAAATTAAATATAAATGTGTAAATACTTTTCGCTTTAATGCGTTGAACATTTTACTGCATAGAAGGAAGTTTTCCTTCATTGAAAGAGAAATCGATATTCTTAACTTCAGTGATTGAGTTTCTCACTTGACCATTAACTGTGTTTTTCTTGATTGATCATTTACTTAATTTTTCCTGTAGAATATAGTTGTAAAAATGGATTCTTTTTAATTTTTTATGTTTAAACAATCTAATAAGTTTAACAAATGCCCACGGCAACTTCTGCATGTGCATACTCCTCACATGCTTATGCACAAAAAGCGTAAAAAGTGCACTTAAGGCACATGTCTCAAACTATGATGCGCAAGCCTTTGGGGAGTAATGCCTAAAAATCAAAGCTTTGATGCGTTTTACCTTAGCCTCAATGCGAGGCGAGCATCGAGGTGAGCCTCAAGAAAGCCTTTTAAAACTCTGATTTGCAGTACTTCAATTTTTTGTAACCATATTGCTAATGTTTTGCAGGTATCCTTCTTTGTTTAAGTGGCTTTCTTTCCTTCATGCTAACTGGAAGCATTTCAGCTATTAGGTTTGGTGTTGTCCTTGGTGGTGCTCTTTTGGCCTTAGGTGTCACTAGTCTGAGATCATGGAGAAGAAGAGAGTCATTTCCTCTAGCCTTGAAAGGGCAAGCAGGTTGGTTTATAAAGGAGTCATCTATTAACACCATGTGTCTGTGTGAAACATCATTCACTACGGCAGTTAATTGATCATTCAATTGAATGGCTTCTAAAACAATAGCAACTTAGGCCTCGTTTGGCAAGAGGCTATTTTAGCTAATTAGTCAAAAAGTTACTAAATTAGCCAAAAAGCCAACAACCCATACCAAAAAGTCAAAGATTCTCTTTTCTCTCTACTTTTTGCACATCTTTTCATAATTAGCCAAAAAGTCATCCCAAACATACAAGTTTTTTTTAGCTCATATTTTAGCCAAATAACCAAAAAGTTACTAAATTAGCCTGTTCCCAAACGAGGACCTTGCAAACCCCAAGGGGTTGGCCTTGGTGGCAAGGCCTTGGATCTTGGAGTTTGCTCCTTCCAAGGTTTAGGGATCGAAATCTCTTAAGTGCTAACAATTCCTTGGGGCCATCAGATTGGTGGAAAATCTTTGAATTAACTGTGGTGCACTTGCGAAAAACTCCTTGCCGAGGGCTTGTGCGCCGCTGGGGATTGGTCGGGTTTTGATCCGGACACTCCAATGATAATAAAAAAAAAAAAAAAATTGGCCTTCTTGCAACTTAATCACAGTATGATTCCTTGCATTGTATTACTCCAGCCATTGCATAGGTCATCATAAGTATTACCAATACGAGTTGAGCTAGGCTTGTGAGCTTATGAAAGTGTCACAAACCAAGCCTGAATATGCATTGCTGTGCTCATCGGTCAAGTAGAACACAAC